TGCCACTTTTAACTTGCATGTACTCTAATATTTTGGGAATTTGATGGTTGAGAGGAAAGGATTTTGTTGATCAGAATCAACAGTAAGATCCAATGCAAGTGTTTTCAGAGAAGGACACTCATGCATCAGGAAAAAAAGAAAAGAAATTAACTATAAATCAAATTGTTTTGGGAGCCTGAAAATGCAAACTTTTGAGAACGAGTTTCAAAGTGGCAGTTTTTGAAAACAATTCCGTTATAGTCTGCATGTAAACTACAAAAATGTGAAAATGTGAAATTTGTGAAAACAGTGGCATCATGCACATGCGTAGTCTATAGAAATGCATATATGTGCAGGTGCGTAGTGTATCTTTACAAAGAGATATCTACTGGCCTGGCATGCATAATACAGCATTTGCATAACAAAATATCTTGTCAAGCATATTTAGAACCAGATTATTTAGATGATATTAAAATACTCTATTTATTAAAATACTTATTTTAAATGTATTTAATCATTTAAAACACACACACACACACACAAAATTGTATGATCACTTTTTCTTTTATAAATTTCAATAAATGCAGGTCAGAATAAGCAGTTTGATTCATTGTTACACTCATATGTTGATATTTTATTTTCACAAAAGCTACTTAAAAAACATTAAACTAGACACTTTAATTTAATATACTTTAATATGCTCTTTCTTTAAATAATCTTCTATTGGGCTATACTGGTTGGCTGAACATGAGGGAGAGCTTTAGAAATGAATTAGCTGTGTGAGTTTAAGGCATCCAGAAGCCTCATTGTCTCTCTGATGCTGCTTCTATTCAACAGGCAAGCCATGTAATCCTGGGAATTAGGCCGAGATGAACTACAAAATGATGGATAACTGGGGCCAGTACTACTGGCCAATCCTGACACATCTGGACACAAACTCCCTCGTGTCTACAAACGTACATTTTTGTAGAGCTAAACATAAAGAAAAACTTAGAGCATCTCAACTTGTTTCGATTCAACCAGTATGGACTCAATTTCCAGTGATATTCGACTTAATTGCACAGATACTATTTAAACAGAACTGAGCTGGATGATGACATCACTGAATGTGATGCTGTACAGTTGCTTTGACACAATCTGTATTGTTAAAAGCGCTATATAAATAAAGGTGACTTGACTTGACTCCAATGGACTCTAATGCTAACCAAAAGCATTAGTTTGGGGCTGTACTAGATGGGCACTGTGCAGAAAACTGTTTTGAAAACATTTATTATTTTGTGTTTCAGTTTAATGATGCTAGTGGCACAGATATTACTAAATTGAAATGGCTAGATATGCCTGAAGGTTTAAGGCTGATGTTTTCCAGACAAAATGTGTAATCACAAAATGCACAGTGTACAATCAAAAAAACTCTGAACTGGCAGACACATTTCTTCTAGGAATTTGTGTTGGTTTTGAAATCTAAAATGAAAACTATATTATATTATATATATTATACAGTATTATATTATATTATAAATATCAGACAGAAGGTTTGAAAGAAAAGGTTTTTTAAAAAATTATATATTTTAAATATTAAAATATAAATGTTAGACATAAACTTATGAAAATGAAATAAAACTAGTTCATGTTGAAGTATTAAAATTACTTAAACGAAAATGGAAATTAAAATAAATTTAATTAAATAAAAAAAAACTAATAAAAATGACAAAAACATTTAAAAATGCTAAAACTAAAATTAAAATTTGAAAAAAAATTGAAATATTGATAAATACTACATAAATTCGTTCACATCCTTCTCTTCACTCTCTGAGGCAGAAGTCTCCAAACTCTTCTACACACACACAAACAACACTATTGTACAATCTCACAGCCACATATTAACATACGTGTATGTTAATGCTTGAAATCATCAGTTTGTGTAAACAGTGCAACGCCCACAAGGCTGACTGAATGAAAGACAGATGGAGACATTACATGACGAGAGACATTAATTTACCAATTAAGGCATTTTTCAGACATGGAGAGCGAGAAATTCCTACACTGATGTTCACAGACCACATCCTACTCATAATATTTGTACATAGACACCTTTCTTCCTCTGACAGCATTTTTCCATCGATTTTTCACCATGTGGGCGACTGCTTTCGCAAACTGAGAAACATTTTCAAGCATTGTAAATATTCAAAGAACCGGACAACACAATTCAAATGCGACTGAGATGGCATAACATGCTACTTTTGCTATCACTGACAGAACATTGGAAAAGTTCTTGACATTACAGATTACTATGACACAAATGCGAACAAACAGCAAAACATATATTAAGAACCCATTAAGCAAAAATAGTATCAATGTTATGGATTTCCACTTAGAAGTAAGGCAGAAGCATACTTTACCAAGTACACAAACACTTAACCGTCAGTACTCTAGGGGGCCATAAAGTTCATCTGTGTCATTCAAGCCCATGTGTTTTTTTTTATTCAGGTCGCTAGAAATAAAACACGTCCACATTAACTAACTTGCGCAACAAGATACTTATCAAGTACTGCACAAACACTTAAACTTTATTAGATATAACTTATTTACACAATGGCAGGAATTAAAACATCAAAATTTGAAATTGCTTATTGAGGGATTGAGAGTTTGCATAAATTGAAGTGCATTTTAAAACATTGTCATAAACTTAACAAACATGATCGAATGTTTTAGAGTGTAACAAACCAATTAAGAGCACAAAACATCCCAGCAAACCATCACTCATACTCACAGATGTTTGTGCTGGTGCTTTCCCTCCAAAATGTTGTCACTTCCTGGAGGATGATGTCATTAGGGAAGTGGCTATTGTTAGTTAAAAGAATTTTGGATGTCCAGCTTTCAACTGTTTGAGATAATAATAATTTAATATTATATAATTATATAAATTCATAAAATATTTTTTTTAACATTTAGCATATTAAAACATGGTGCACAAGAAAAAAATAACTGCCTAACATTAATTAATATCAACAAACAATTAAAAAAAAATGTTTAAAAAAATGTTTACAAAATCTCCACATGGTACTCTGGTTAGTAGTGTTCACACCAGTAATTTGCGACCGTTTATCTCCTCATTAGCGAGTGGATAACAGTTCCAGCTCGTTTCCAGTAACTTGCACTCTGCATCCATTAAGTTTGTTTTATATCCAGGGATAAATATGTTGTGAGTGAACTGGGGCAATTTGATAGCTTATACGACTGGAAAACAGTCCCAGTTCAGGTCCAGAATGGTAGATCATAGATGACTCATGAAGAAATTATGCAACAAATATGAAAACAGGCATAATTCAATGAACAGTAAAACATATTTGCAAGCTTTCTGGACATCAGTGCCAGGAAGACAGGCGCTGTGGAGCTGTAGTGTAAAGATGACATCAATCAGACAAGTCAGGCTTACTTTAATGAAATCTAAACATCACAAAGACATATATTAAGCACTAAAGTTTTCAAAAACATGCATACAGAGGCAACAGGGCCCTAAACTTCATGTATCAAAACAGCATGTACATTCTTGATGACTGATGTCTGTCTCTTTGACTCCTGAGTGTGAGATGTGTACAGCAGCACTGTGTAAATCTCTGGTAATGAAACGTTCAGCGTCTGCGGGCCAACATTCGTTCCAAGGTGAGCCTCTTACCATTGCTAACAGCTCCTTCTAGTGGTCAAAACCTCAGAGGTGAGCTAAATCCAGCATTAAGACCCACACAGACACTCGGGCTTGTACTGTACAGCTGGGTAAATCAAGAGACAGCATGTATGATAAGCGCAGAACAATCAAAAGAAATGAAATATGGTGTGCAGTTCTTTAAACTTGCTATCACACATCTGACAAAGCAATTTCAAAGCAAAACAGAGCAACCCATTGATGAACTTTACATATGGGACATGTGCAAATGCCATTTTGGAGCACTCTATAAGACATGTAAACAGCAGAGGGCCACTTGGACACCGAGTGAACGGTATGATTAAACAATCGTGTCTGTTAAATCTCATCTAAATTGTGGTTTCAGCAGTTCAAAGTTCAGAACAGGTGGGTGTAGATTGCCTATTCTTAAACTACCACCAAGACCTGCATGAGAGAAAAGAGATTTTAAGCATTTACCACAGTATTCACCACACACCTCAGCTGGTTTTAATTGTGTGCTGGAGTGATACGGACTTCACGGATGCCATCAGTAGCTGTTGCTGCATATGTTGCTCAGACATTTCTATAGGGGTTTTGTAACAAGGGTTGAGCAGTAACACCGTCAGTTTAACCATTTAGAAAGAAGTTACATCACTAGATGATTGACACCCTTATGAGAAGATAGAAATGCATGATCACATCTGACCTTGTGATCATGTTAATGAAGAATACATGGCAGAAGTGGTATTATCCGAATCAGCAGCTTCTCCTGTTTAATTTGATATATAGCATTCAGTTGTGACAGTTTCAAAACTAACCAAAACTATTGTTTTATAGTAGTTTTCAGTTTCTTTTTGCTGGAAATGTGTCCCACATGTTCGCAATTTTGAATTAAAATGCTTGAAAGCATACTCATTATTTTGAACAAGTAAATGTGATTATCCATGTTTTCTATTAGTGCTACCGGTATGTTGTATCAGCAGCACACTAATTTGAACGGTTTATGGATAAGTAGTAGATTTCAAAACTACTTTAATTTGCAGAAGACAAACATGGGAATATTATGTCAAAGTTTGAGACACGCAGAGCAAAACAAGACAGAGTTACAGACGTTAAAACAAAACACTCCCCATTCTCCCTTACTCATACATGTTCTCTGCGCGCACTAATATACGGGTGGTGCCTATCAGCAGGGCGATTCTAATCGTGCTCTTTTGTGTGTATTCTCTATGTATGTGAGCAAGCGTCTTTATCATGTCACATCCATGTTGCGTCTTTAATCTGCTGGAAAGCCGCTGAGCTTCGTGCACGAATCTGACGCTATATACAAGCACTGCTGTGAAGTTGATCAGTCTGCTCAGAAAACTTACAGAGGGGAAAGTGTTTTGGAATCGGAAAGTCCAGAATTTCAGTGCGCAACGAATTGCGCACAAACTGGACTATTGGAGAATACCCAAGTGAATCATTTTTTATATTAATATATTTATATGAAAAATCCACCGGATTCTTCTTCATCATCTATTTTTCATCAAAGACTGTTTCTATTTTCTCATTTTTAAGACACCCCAAACTGTGCTTTCACTTTGCATGCGGAGTTTTCACTCGAATCTGAGCCAAACGTTCATGCGTTCTCATATCTAGTTCATGCTCTCTTTTTTCTTTTAAATCGGACCTCATTCACTTTGAAACGAAGCATGGCTCTTCTTGTGCTGGGTACATTTCTCACGGCGTTGTCCATCAGCGGAGGCTCTTACGTGCCGTGCGAGCCGTGCGATCAGAAGGCGCTCTCCATGTGTCCTCCGGTCCCGGTGGGCTGTCAGCTGGTGAAGGAGCCCGGCTGCGGCTGCTGCTTGACTTGCGCTCTGGCGGAGGGGCAGGCGTGCGGGGTGTACACCGGTACATGCACGCACGGACTGCGCTGCCTGCCGCGCAACGGCGAGGAGAAGCCGCTTCACGCCCTGCTGCACGGCAGGGGAGTGTGCACGAACGAGAAGGGATACAAACCACCGCATCCACCCATTGGTAAGTTGACTGGAAAGCAGTGCGCCTTTGTTGCACGGAAGCATTGTTGCATTGAGATCGTGTATCTGGTGGGAACTTTGTGGCTTGCGCTGATCCAGTTTTATGGCGTGCGCATGTTTCTGCATGGGCTTTTCTGTGTTGTGGCCGGGCTGCGCTGCTCAGTGCTGTTTTCCATCATATTCCAGCGCTGTAGATTACTAGGATTAGTGAAGCCTTTTTATGTTTCACCCAAAGCCAATTATTAACAAAACGGTTTCCATCTTCACGCTGCAAAGGCACTTATACAAAAAGTACCGTGGTGGTACCGCGTTTTCTGGAAATGTACCATGGTATTTTTGGACGCACCTAAGAGTATGATGTAAATGCCATTCCAGTACCATTGTATCATCATCAGATACGTTAAAATTTGAGCATTATTAAAAGAGTATAGAATAGTTGTATTTTAGTCAAAATCAAGTGGCGTTTTTTGGCATGGTGTCATTGGGACTACCATTGTATTTTGGGCATATAGCATGGTACTACCATGTTTTTTTGCCATTTACCATAGTAGTATCATAGTATTGTTTTGGAAGGTCCCATAAAATGCCATCACTGTGCCAAGTCACTGCCACTGTACTTTTTTTTTAAGGGATATATCAATGTACCATGGTACTGCCATCTGATACCATCACTGTACCATTTTTGTACTTAAGCTGCATCTACAGTATCATATAATGCATTTACATAGAAATTATGTGCAGTGAAATGTATGAAAGTTGTGAATAAAAATATTAACCTATTAATATATGCTCTATAAAGGCAAAGTTTCATTGCATTTCATTGGCACAGAAGCAAAGCAGCATCAGATTCAGCAGAACTGCATAATTTAGTATGCTCCTCAGAACTGAGTAAAGACGCCTCGAGATGCATAACTCCATACAGTCTTGCCTTGTGTTTAGTTATGGTTTGATTTGGCAGTGGCATTTGTTTGGTGCTCTATTGACGTTAGGGACTCCTCCATTGTTATGATCACACCTCTCATCATTGTACGGTGTACCCACGCCTCATGATATTCTTGATTGAGATACTAGGTTGCTCTGAATTTAGGTCTAAGTCTGTGGGTGGTGTTAAGGGTCGGATTACTGTTCGAAGATTAAATCCAAGGGGAGGAGGGTAGCCACGGTGTCTCTACAAGCCAACCTATGTGCAAAAATCACACGTTTACGAAGAGTAATCGTTCACGGCACGCATATTTATTTACATTTACGCATTTGCCAGATGCTTTTATTCAGTGCACTAAATCCATGCTTTCCTTGGGATTCGAACCACTAACCTTGGCATTGTTAGTGCAGTGCCCTACCAGTTGAGCTACATGAACAAAAATAGCTCATTGGGTTACAGAACTATATATTTTAAAGACAGCACAAGACAGCACATATCCTTAAAACAGATGAGGTTGAATTCAGTCGTGGGCTTTCACCACGACCGTTTGTACACAAATACAACCCCCTCACAGACAGGTGCACATCAGAAACCTGTTTGTCTCTATCTGAAGTCCTCTGATGAGTGCGGTTGCTGGTTTACCCCTTCTGTGATTGCAGTGGGCACACAGTTGAGCCCTTGTGATTCAGCAGAATGTCTGTGGAGCCGATCTATCAAGAGCTGTTCGTCAAGCATGGGGATGAATTTAGAGGGACGCTTCTAGCCTCCCATGGTATTCGGTTTCAGCCTGGTTTTACAAGCTGGGCAGGACAGACAGAGAGGGAGAGAGAGAGCGATAAAGAGAGAGAGAGAGAGGAAAAAGAGGGAGAGAGAGGAAAAAGAGGGAGAGAGGTCAAGCGTCCTTGCCCGCATTAGGATTCAGAGTCTTTTGGTCCTGTGTCTTCCAGATCCATTTTTATTCCCCCAGCACGCCTTAGTTTCACAGTTGTGCAAACATAAAATTGAAATACAAGTTTAAAATGGAATCATGTCTCACTCACGTGAATAGTGTCATACCTTCATGGTCTTGAATGCTGGCGCTCACGGTTTAAAGATTCAGTGTTCAGAGCCAAGTACAATAGGCGATGCCAGATTGTCATTTAGCTCCAGGATTGGCAAATACTGCAAATTTGCCAACGATCACAAGGGAGACTTTCTGTTCGGACATGCCATGTGGAACTTGGATGCAGTTGCCAACAGATATGACTACAGGCATCTTGCCCAAAAGAACTGTATGCTGCATTCGCAACTATTGCAGGTCTGAATCTAAGAGCGTGCAAGTAAACAAACGTAAAGAAATGGTCCGAAAGCAATTGGCTGTTGTATTCGGTTACTTCGGTATCGCTGATTTTTGCGCTGTATTTACTCACTAGAGATGTAGCCATAACTAAACAACGATTACAATGGAATGGAATTCTATTGCCTGTCTGTCATCTCATTTTTATATTGCGCCACAGGCCAAACTCACAGAAACATATACTTGCTTGCAACATCAGACTGACACTGAAAGATATATGGCTCGCTTCACTGAATAGCACCTGAATAGATCTCTTGCACTTTTTGAAAGTGATGCCCAGCTTTTTGAAATCTACATTATAGAATACTTTCTCCTCTTTTTTAACCATAATGCCAATAGTGCTTGTATATCAAGTGCCCAGTCATCCTTTCAGAGGTAGGCAAGTAGGGAACCTATTTGGCACTCTTAAATGACTTCTTCCAGTAAAGTTGAACAGCAATCTGTCCAGCGTGTATTTGTCATTGGCACCTGGAAAGCTAGCGAGTGAGTAACAGCTGTGAAGAAAATCAGCTCGCACAGTAGTCTCGTCTCTGTCAGAAACGTGATTCCTGGGCAGCGACATCCTCACGCTGGGCCCTGCTTAAATAGGAACACATGTCAGGCTGACCAAAACAGCGAATGGAAAAAACAATCTATTTAATCTATGGTTTTACTGCTCACGTTTAGAAAATGTAAGCAGACAGCAGGGCTGGTTGAGCAGAAGACGCCAACCTGTTGAAACCTCCTGTCATGTGCTTCGGGGCGGTGGAGGGGGAGCCGCAGTGTCACGTTTCTTCAGGGAAGGAGAACAAAAGGTGCCTAATTTCTTGCCTGCAGCACAGGTTCAGATGTGGTTCCAAAGCGCTGCCTCAAATTTTGTGCCATGCAGGATTCTCGGGAGGATAGATAAGATAGGCAGCACAAGACAAAATCATTAGTTCTGTTACAGTTGTCACATTTAGTTGTTGAGGATCATGGGAAAGGCGGTGTGGTGACTGAATTTGGCCTGCTTAGGGTAGCTGATTCATTCGAAAACGACTGGTAACGCTCATTGTCTGAGCCACACACACGTTGTGTGCATAACAAGTCTACTTCCTATTGCACTAAAAGCGGGCGAAATGACCAAAATCGTATTTTATGAGTAACTTTATAATCACGCTAACACAGTAATTGCAATATACTGTAGTTTATTTTGCTGTAAATTTAATTAAATAAGTGATTTACATGTTACAATCATGCTGTAACACATACTTTTGGATAACCTAGTGAATTAAGTGCAAATAAAAGTTACTTTTGATTTTCTCTTCTTTTTTTGTTAGATGCAAACAAAATGACTATTGTCACATCAAATAATATGTATCTCAAAATATGTACTATTTAGTGCTGTCAAACAATTAATCGTGATTATTCGCATCCAAAATAAAAGAAATTTGTTTACATAAGTGTGTACTGTGTATATTTATGTATATATAAATACAAACACATGCATGTATATATTTAAGAAAAATATGCTATGTTTATTTATTAAATATATTTATATATAATATAAAATATAATCATATAAATGTATATACATGTAAATATTTTCATGTATTTATATATATACATAGTAAATAAACACAGTACACATACATATAGTATGTAAACAAAAACTTTTATTTTGGATGCGATTAATCGCGATTAATCGTTTGACAGCACTAGTAGTATTACTTATTAGACATACAAAACAAGTAGTTATGACTCTAAATTCTGAGCCGCAGTTGAAGCCTAAAAAGGTTTGCATATGAAATCATCATGCCGTAATATCTATTTTTAGATAATCTAACAAGTTAAGTGCAAATAAAACAAATATTTCTGATCTCATTTGACTCTTTTTTCTACCATGGTTTAAGTCGTACAGTATAGCAAAATCTCGGGTTGGCACAGTTTTACCATCATATCGCCCAGCTGTAACGCCTATAGTTTAAAATCTTAAATATATCCCATCCTTCATTTTGGAAATTCCTAATAATGTTTCAAATTAGGCTTTTATTCACGTTCCCTTCATAAATAATTACATACCACCTACAAATGATTATATACAATCTTAATAGTAATTATAAAGATTGATGTGGTTTGGATGGCTAAAGTTTGCTTGGAAAAAAACTATAAGATCTTGCCTAGTTTATAAATTTAGAAGAGGAAAGATTGTAGCTAGATCCTCTTGGTGGAAAGATGCCTTGAGCTTACAGACAGTATCGCTCTCTTGCCATTGTCTGAGCTAATTGAAATCAGCAACTGGGAGTGATCCATTGATGTCCTGAAGAGCACCTCCTGAGTTCATGTTTCGGAGTGTTGATGACAGGAGACACGGTCAGCCGATGAAGAGGTGCGCACATGTGCTTTCAGCCTGAAGGGCATCGACAGGTGTCATCACTTTGCATTGTCCTGAATTAGAGGGGACTTGTTTGAATAGTAAGTTGTATGATGGCTTTCTTGGTCGTAACCGATCGTGTATTGCAACATGGAAACTTTTATCCCAAATCAGCCAGGTCTTGCTGTTAATGTTGCTTTGTAGTTTGCGATTACCCCAGTTTTAACTAGCATTAGTGCTCGGTTGCATTTGTGGTGTTTTTTTTTTATTAGTTTGTGGCATGCTTCTCTGCTACAGAGGCCCAAACATGTTGTGGACACGGTCCAGGCTTTAAATATTTAGCAGTGGAATCTTGCCAGGGATGCCATGGTCGGTCTGTGACAATGAATGCAAGACAAAGCAGAACGGCCTGCTTCAAGAACGACTTTCAAAGGCGAGCTAGTCTGAATATTTAACAATAGCAAGACCTAATTCCAACCATGCATGCTAATAAGACACTAAAACACGTGGTTTGAGGGCCTTAATAGCATTTCTCGGCTTGTTTTTTAAGCTTGTTCTTAAAAAAAGAATCGGACAAGGTGACAACGCAACTCAAAAGGAGATCTGCTTTCATCATTAGCCCCCAAGCTGTAAGAAACCGTGGATATTCATGAAGTATAATTGCCCAGCACATGTGTAAATTATTAAACAGAGCCCTATCAGATGCATCTCCTTTGGCCAAGCTCGGGTCCCTTTATCTTAATGAAAAGTTTTGCAAGACCAAGAGGAGAGACACCAATACCTCTTCTGCATTCTTTCCAAAGCTCATTTGAATAGACAGGCTACACGTGATACGTCTGGTTTGGCCGGGCTCCAGGTTCTTGGCTGTGTGTCAGATGTTAAACACAGACCCGCTAAACCTTTACAAGCTGGGGACCACGAGCATGGAAAAAGTGATTTTGGTCCTCACTTCGAAAAGCCTACAACAGAAAACACGAACTTAGTGGTTTGTAAACTATAGGCATTGTTGATTTCACAAACACGGTGCGTTTGTGCCACGCACGACGAGGAAAAATCACGAAAAAAGCCATGAGGAATTGTGCCAACCCAGTCGTCCTGTGCCCTCTCATTTGAAGTGTACATTTCCAAGCCATGTAAATCTCCCTCTCGGCAAACGTCCCTACGACATTTCCATGAGGCGATCTCAGATTAGGTGGCTTCAGGAGCCCAAACCTGCGGGGAAATCTGTACAGAAATTTCAGTCTGCCAAGTCATGAGTTGCGGGATTGATTTCAAAGAGACAGCACCATGCTCTGATTGTAACTTCAGAAGCCAGGAAACCAATTCCTGTAATGACCAGGCACCCGCCCCATGCATCTCCAGGTCAGACAGACTCTTTCACCACCGGGCCGCTCCAGAAGACCCTGCCCCAATCCGCAGCAATGTGAAGCACTGGAGCTCAGGGGGACTGTGAGGGCAGTTATCTCAATCATTTCTGCTGGCTGCCTCAGCTGTCTGATAATGCCCTCTTGGCTGTATGCACAAAAATACTTGGCAACCCAACAGCATCGATGTTCAGGCCAGACTCTGTATGTCCATTTCCATTCTGTCTGATTCTCAAATGAAGCCACTCTAAGATGCAATAGCATTAAATAATACATTATATATATATTTGATAATTTAATATCAGTCTATTTAGTATAATAATCACATTATGCTGTGCCGATCCCTTACCCAATTATTTACAAATTAAATACTTTCCAAATGCATGAACAATTTGCCAAGTAATATTGCTTATTTGCATAATAAATAGCATGAACTGTGTATGGCTGCCAAGCAGTGCTATTTTAATGTTATATATTCGTTTTCATTTAAACTTTGAATTTAAAAGGTCATTTTTATTAGATTTATTTTTTCTTTAGTTTTTAGACATTTTTATTTTAGTTTTAGTTATGTTAGAACATCAAGTTAGCTAAGTGAAAACAAGAAACGTTTCCTTGGCAACTAGCTTAAAATAAGTTTAAGTTATTTTATTTCAAATAACAAAAGTGGTTATGGTTTTAGTTTTAGTTAACTATAATAATTCTGTTGCCATGCAACCTGGTGCATTAATATACAAAGTGCAAAAACAGGTGTGCATTTGACAGCGTTTCACAATTATGTCACAATTTAGAATATGTATATAAATGGATTTAATGTATAATGAATTTCATGCAAGCATTAGATCTGAAAGGAAACAATATTATATTTAACTTTATTTTTTTATCCAATAAACCACAATCCTAAACAAATCCAATAACTCCTATTAAAATGCCATTTTTTATTGCAAATTTGATAATTATTTGTCAGATGATTTTTGTTGGTTTGGATGGCTAAATGTCAATGCAATTATATATACTGACTTTGTATGCTTCATGTTAATGACCTGTTAATCTCCTCCGGATGTACTATGTTTGGCTTCTCTCTGCATGGTTCAAGTGTTCAGTTTTATGAAGCTCGGCTTTGTCCAACAGTATTTGACTTCAGTGGAAAGACAGTTTATAAGTACAGGCATGTATCCTGTGGAGTTTTACTATCAAACTATATGTGCTTGAATTACTTGTTCTGTAATATCTCCACATTTTCCCCGGACACATGTCGACAGTTACTACCCACCTAGCCTTAGATTCCTGCAGAAGAACATTGCGGTTGTCATGGTGTTATGGTTATTGAGACTTCAAAGTTCTTCAAGTGTGTCTCTGAGCTGTTAAGGACCCTTTGAAAAGCCGTTTCTGTTCTCACTCTTAAATCCTGTAGTCATGCACATTCTCTACAATTAAACTAACAGAATTATTCAGCAGTATAAAACAGAGGTTCATTCAACGTTTAGGTTGTACACCTAAATGAATTTTGGAGAAATCCCACCAAATAGAATGAGATATTAGATTTTTAACCCAATTGGATGTTTAGTCAGGCATAGCCAAGTGTTTCAACCTGGGATAGGTTGGGTTGGGGGTGGTCATCAGCTGTTGATCCTGCCACCACCCTCTGTAAACAAATGCATAGGAAACATTTGGTGGAAATAGAGTTGCTTTCATGTTTACGCTCTGGAAACTCATTAGCAACTAGGATGTGTAAATATCTTAAAGCCTTTGGGGAGGTTTTTATAAGAGATTTCCTAGGTTTTTATAAGTTAAATTTAATTTTGAATTGTTGAAGTCAGATGTAGGACATTGAGATCATTACTGGTGTTTGCTAAGGCAAATTACCATTGCATTATTTTGCTAATGCATTCAGTTTTGCCTGGCGTGCAACTGCAAACAACCTAAAATACACCGTTTCACAATGGTCAACCAGTCATGCAATAGGAAAAAGATTTAAAAGTTACATTTTTAGGCTGGTCTGCCCTGAGCCAATCAAATCCATACGTCGTTGGTATTGTATGAATGATACCTCAAATTGTGTGGCTTCATGTTTACGCTCTGGAAACTCATTAGCAACTAGGATGTGTAAATATCTTAAAGCCTTTGGGGAGGTTTTTATAAGAGATTTCCTAGGTTTTTATAAGTTAAATTTAATTTTGAATAGTTGAAGTCAGATGTAGGACATTGAGATCATTACTGGTGTTTGCTAAGGCAAATTACCATTGCATTATTGTGCTAATGCATTCAGTTTTGCCTGGCGTGCAACTGCAAACAACCTAAAATACACCGTTTCACAATGGTCAACCAGTCATGCAATAGGAAAAAGATTTAAAAGTTACATTTTTAGGCTGGTCTGCCCTGAGCCAATCAAATCCATACGTCGTTGGTATTGTATGAATGATACCTCAAATTGTGTGGCTTATTGAGGTGTGCTAATGCATTCGGTTTTTGCCTGGTGGAGGGAAAAATCTCATACATTAACACCATATCAACACCCTGGCAACCACTTTAACATCATGCTGATGATTTTGCACTGGCACTCACATTTCCATGCAGTAAAAATCTAGTTAATGCTTATTATTTGATTCTCTTTGTCTTAGATCGCGAATCAATAGAGCATGATGATACAGTGAAGCCAGACACGACTGAAGACCAGATTCCTAAAATTCCCCTTTACCCCAAACCAGACGTAATCAACAGCAAGAAGCATGCTGCCGTGCGCAAGGACAAGAAGAAACAACAGGAGAAGCATCGGTCACTGGGGTTGATGGACTACTCCCCCCTTCCCATCGACAAGCATGAGCCTGAATTTGTAAGTTGTGTGACGCAGCAGCTCCAGTAAAATGATAGCTAGGCGTTAAATGCTGAGGTGATGATGCAACTCACCATGTGTTCGTCTGACACAGGGTCCCTGCAGAAGGAAGCTGGATGGAGTCATTCAAAGTATGAAAGACACCTCCCGCGTCATGGCTCTTTCCCTCTACCTGCCTAACTGTGACAGGAAGGGCTTCTTCAAGCGCAAACAGGTAAGACGCTTGTTACTTTTATGGTATAATTTTAACATTGACATCTAATATGATGAACTTTTTTATCGTTGATTAACACTGTCGGTCGATGTTAACTCATGAAAATAGTTGCGCAAACAGAACCGTTGCGCAACACACAATGGTTTTCCTTTGGTGAATGAATCTGCATTTATGATTGCCGAGTGATTCAGTAACTCACTCGCTTTTTGAACAAATCGGTTCAGTCAGTGATTCGAATGACTCGCTTAAAAAGACCACCGCTGTCGCCACCTATTGGTGTATCGATGTAGTATGCAAATAGTCACTTAAAAATCCTACCACTAATACATAAATTGTCAGCCTGTCTGGAACAAACACAGCCAAAAAAAAAAAAAAAAAAAATAAGGACGGAAACAACTGAAAAAAATATATATAAATAC